TGTTGGCTGTTCTCCCACTCACAGAGCTGAACAACAACAACAACATGTATTAGGTAGGTGCTGGGAAATAGGTCCCACTCTGGCAGAACGTGAAGACATTGAAGATTAAGGGATAGCTGCCAACTGGATAGCAAGGGTGAGGTTTGGGGATCCAGCTGTCTATGGAGGCTGTTGAGTTTAAATATGAACAAGCACTGGAAGTTCTTCAGTAGGAAGATGATTAGATGACTCCACAGAAGTGGAACAGATAGGATATCGATTGTCTATGCCACGTAACTTCACCTAGGATGTTAGTAGGGTTGGAAAAATTATATAAGAATGTTAATGGCACCAAAATATAGTAGAAAAAGAATAGATTTTGATGCCAGAAAGATGTGTCAAGTCCTGATTGTACTGCTTGCTCTCTGTTGGACAAGATATTTCCCCTTTCTATGCATTAATTCCTTTATCTATGAAATAAGTACAGTAGGCTGTTCTGAGTATTAAAAGGGATAGTACATGAAAAGACCTTGACATAGTAACTGGCACCTAGAAAGCAATGAATGGGAATTCCCTTTCTGTTTTTTTTTTTTTTTTTTTTTAATGGGAGGGGGGTGTTGGGGATAGAACCCAGGGCCTTGTGCATGCAAGGCAAGCACTCTACCAACTGAGCTATATCCCCAACCCCAGGAATTCCCTTTCTTATCTCCCTTTCCTGTTTTATCTCTATAACAAAATGTCCAAATACATTCTCCAATATGGCAGAACATGAAGTTGAACTAAAAACAATGGCTCCATGTGAACGTCTGTGTGATTGTGCAATCCAAGTTTTACTTAAAACTTGGTTACTATTTGAGGTGTGGGAGAATTTCTCTTTCCTTGCCATTGCAAGTCTGATCTAGGTCTTATATTTGTGAGGGGAAAAGACTTTCAAACTGCTCATATGGATCTCCAATTAGGAATGTAAAATCTTTTTTTTGTCTTAATACTATAATCCATTCTTCAACTCTTAGAGCTGTCAAGGAGAGCTATCACCAGCTGCCCTTGAGGGTACCAGAGTCTGGTCAGTCCTGCCATATATAAGCCTGGTCTAACTGGTCAGTACCCACTGATTTAGAAATCTCTCTTAATTTTTTTTTTTTTATTATTTCAGTCAGGTGATACCAAGGATTGCTATTTAAAAGGAATTAATAGACTTAACACTGACCTAACCTACAGAAACAGTTTCAACAGCTTTTGGGGCAAGATTAGGACAATTACTGCTTGCTCCCCACTCAATCAGGTCAAGGCTTTTCCTGTAAGAGCATGTGGCTGCTCATTCCCACTTAAAGGCAGACCTTTCACCTCAGCCAGCCCCAAGAGCAGTCATTCAATGGAACAAAATTTCACCCTCTATACCTGGATTCTTTAGATGTGGTTCTGTTCTCTGGAGCTATACAGATGTCTCAGTTGTCATGTTTCCCCTTTAATGCACCCCTCCCCCCAACCTTCTGCCCTTCTCTGCAGTCTTTTCCCCATTTAAGGAACAAAATATCCAGATTCATCATTCTTGCTTGAAGATGTGTAGAGAGGAACAATAAAAATAAAGACAATCACATAGAAAAAAAACAAGGAAGAGAGGCTGGAGTGGTGGCTCAGTGGTAGAGTGCTTGCCTAGCACGTATGAGGCATTGGGTTCTATCCTTGGTACCACATAAAAACAAACTAATGTATCCACCTAAAACTAAAGATACATAAATAAATATATATTAAAAAAAAAAAACAAGGAAGAGGTCTTAGTTGGGTGCAGTAACACTTGCCTGTACTCCCAGTGTGGGAGACCAAGCCTGGAAATGTAGTGATAAACATCTTAAACAAGCAAGCAAACACAAAATACCCAGTGTCTTTGATGGAGAGTTCTTGTCCTGGAAAAATACTTGCATGTGCCCATTTCCACTGATAACTAACAATACTACTACCACTACCAGTGAAAAATGGTGGTGTTTTCTACTCTACAGATGTTGAGAGTCAAAGAATGTCCTGGTCTTTCCTGTGAATTCTCAACATCTCTGTATCTCCTGGAAGGGATCTAGTATTGACCATAGACCTCTTTCTTCATGGAACACTTTATGGATACTAGAGTTTTGAGATGCATTCTAGGAAATTATGGTTTCAGATATACTGTAAGGACTGAGACTAGATGTTTGACATGACTTCAATCTTAGGCTAGACTGACTGATTACTGTTGGATACTGAAATTGGTGGCTCATATGGATCTTTCCTTCCTTGGAGAGTTGGTAGGCTCTTCTTCCTTCCCCTTAGGGTTAGCATCAGGTACCCACCTGCCTGGGAGTGTTGAGGTATAGGTCTGTGACATAGGGAATCTGGGAATCTAGATACTTCCCCTCCCCAGGATTCTATTTTTGTGGATCCGATTGTGGCAGTGTTGTACGGAAGGCACAGCCTCGTTGGGACAGGAGGTAACTGAGAATTTTGGCCAAGAAGAGAGGGGGCTAGAGATGGGAAAAGTTGATGCAATTATTTTTGGCAGGAGTTGGAACCAAAGCAGCAGGAGAGTGTAAGTTTTAAGCCTCTCTGGCAAAGTAACTTCCTAATCTGTCACTGAGTATGTGTAAAAAAGTGATTAGTGGGTCTCTATATTTATCATGATTACTCACAAATATGTAATTTACATAATATATACAGCACATTAAGTACTATGTCACCTTATATAATGTGCATATGTATAATGTATATGCATGTTATGTAACGCCAGTCTGGAGGCTCTTCCCGGTTCTGCCAAGTATTTCCTAATTTATTTGGCAATTTTAACGTATCTTTTCCATCTGTGGAAAGAACTCTCTTAAGAGGAACTGGTCTCTGACCTGAATATAATCATCCTGCTAAGTCTACCTCCACTTTCAATTCACTGGGGAAACCCCACAAAGACCAAGGCATAATGAGACGCAGCTCCCAGCCCACTGGTCCAGGGATAACACAAAGTACTGAAGATTTCCTGTTTCACTGTTTTTATTGCTAGTGGGGTGGAAGCATGAAGGCAGGTGAGAACATGTCTGTAGCATGGTAAGAATCAGAATAAGACAAGAAATAAGAGACTGGGCTCTTCCCTGACTACCTGTATGGCTTTGGAAGTCACTAAACCTCATCAAGCCCCCTTCCCCTCATTAGGATTGAGATAATAATACCTTCTCTGCTAACCTCGGAATTTTCTGTGGGGGTCATTACAATGAGGCACTACTCCACAATAAGAAACCAGTCATGTTGTTTAAAAGATGATTTGCAAGGCAAGATTTAACAGCAACACAAGACTTGCTAAGGCTACCACATCAGAAGCGCAATTCCACTCAAGTTCTTTATACTCTGTGCCTCTAAGGAGGATTGGGGTACATCTCTCAAGCAACATTAAAGTCCTGTGCACTAGGGTAAAGCAGGTAGGAGCCAATTCTGCATGGTCCCTTTGTGACTTGTGAGACTCTGAGAATCAATTTCACCTGTCGATGGTGCCATGTCTCAACAGCCTCAATCTTGGAGAATGAGGGCTGAAACATACACAAAAACTTCTGTAAATGTCTCAGAATCAGTGACCCTAAACCTGAACCTGCCTCACTTTCAGAATCAAGTTGCTTCCAAGATAGTACCTGTAGTCATTCTGGAGCTTGTTGGTCACACCACATAGGATTCCATCAGTAAGGATATTCTTCAGGTGACCTGCTCTTCCCCTTGCTCAGCATTTCTGCACTGTTATTTGAGCAGAATGGTCTCATATCTCAGTCCAAGATGGTCCTAGAAGATTACTTCCTTCAGAGGTGGGCTCCATTTGTGCACACAATCTTAACATTGTCTTCCTTGTCCAAAGCTCCTGGCCCAATGCAAGGAGATTAAAAGCAGCTCATTGGAATGATGTCAAGTAGCTCATGTTTTCTCTTGAGAAATCTGAGAGAATGGAAGTCCCAGTGAGCTAATGGGTAGAGGAACTGTTGTTTTCCACCGATGAAGTGCTGCATAGTTGCCCTTAGGAAGGGGAGGTAATGCTGGAGCCAGGTGAATGAAGCCCACTGAGCTCTGCTGACACCCCTCTGTCCTGGCTGGCAGCACCTTGCAGAAGGTGCCTCAGTCCTGCTTGTGACTTTTCCTGCAGCCAAAGTGTTTCCAAATGAAGGGATTCTGGTGACCATGATGAGGAGATATGTGGAGGGTTCAATGTGATGATCTGTCTCATGTCTTCAACTTCAGACCAACTTCTCTTCAGGTTAGGTCAGAGAGAACTTTTGAAGCACACCAAGGCCCCGATCTCTCACCTGGGGTTGTCCCATCCAAACATATGCTGCATGCTCATTTTCCCCTGGCACCCTGGATCCAAGTGGAATCACTTCTCAGAGACCAGAAATGACCCTATTCCCAGCTGTGTGAGTTCTTTCCTCTAGTAATTGTCTTCTTAGTGGCACCTACTCTCAAAACACATTAGCCAAGAGACCATGGAGCTGTCTCTTCACTTTTCTCTATTTCCTTATCTCACAAATGGGAGAGTAAACCTGCCCAGCATGTCTTTCATGGCTGTTTTGATGATCCAGAACAGGAGTTCTCTTCACGATAAGGACATCCTTCCATTTCCCTTAAACATTATGATCAGCACGAGGAAAGGTGTTGACAATGAAATGGTGGAAGGTTCCTTTCCCGCTTTCTATTCCCATATTACCTGTGTTTATTTCCAATCAGAAAAAGTCCAGCCGTAAATAAATATTTATATGTTATATATAAATATATATGCTACATATATACACACATAAGACCATCAGAAGGTCCTTCAGGTCAGAATCTGAGGGTGGGAAGTGCGGAGAGGTGATGGGAACTGCCTGATGGACTGTCTTCCTGTCCCCAGCACAGTCCTGTCCTCTCATCTTCTCTGACTTTGGGAAATAGTCCACCACCAGGGCTCGGAACTCAACAGGAAACACGCTTTGGCTCAGGAAGAAAAGAAACTGGGGGTGTTTTTTTTTTCTTTCCCTTTTTACACAATATTATGACACCAGTTTAAAAAATAAATCCCAGTTTCTCCACTTTCCCTCCCAGGTGTTCACAGAACTAAGAAAATAAATACCACATCTAAGGCGTGCTGCACAGGCAGCTCAGGGGGCTCTTGGAGCCGTCTCTAAACAAACACCCAGCCACCAGGAGAAGGCTTGGGGAAATGAACAAGTGCCCACCGATGGGGTAGAGAACCTAGGAATGGAAACACAGCTTTCCACAGCCTTTCTGCCTTCTCAGCAAGTCTGGGGAGAAGCTGTCGCTCAAAGGACAACCAAGAGACCATCGAGCGCCTGCTGAGCCCTGCCAAGGATTATGTGCAGAGAGCGCGAGGCTGATGTGTCTCTGTACAGAAGGACCTTTGTGCAAGTTCTCTGGAACGGAGCTCTTTCCCTCGACCACATCCGATCTCATCTCACCATAGCAGGAAACCTGCAGCCTGCTCCTCACGAGCAGCGAGCGACTGTGAGGAAACTTGTAGAGCTGGTGAAAAGAAAGAGATTTCTCCTTCAGTCTCAGAAAGTTCTCCCCAAGGGCTGTGGGAATTTGGAGGTCGCTGCATGAGCCAACCCACCCTGGTGGGCCTAAGTCTTTTCAAAATGTTCTGGGCACTGGCTCTGTTAGAAATGTATCCATTTTTTTTTTTTAATAAACTGTATAGAAGGTGAAGTTTTCTTCCAGAAGGGTGGTTTTGCTTCCACTAATTAGAGAAGTGTGTGTGTGTTTGTGTGTGTGCGCATGTTTGTGTAAGTGTGTGTGTGTGTGTGTGTGCATGTAGTTACAGTCTCTTGTTTTCTCTCTTGGGTTAGCTGGCGTTTGGCACACTGTTTAGTCTTTTGAACGGCTCTTCCTCCTCAGTGAAAAGAAGCTGCTCTTCTGGGGAGGCCCCATCATCATGGGTGCTTGGTTCTTGTGAGTAATTTTAATCTAAAAGCAAAGAGGCAGAAAAGAATTAGTGGCAATGCAAATTCTAGCAGCCTAAGGGAGAACGAGTTGCAGAGAGGAAAGGAGGCCAGCTTTGGACTGGAAGGAGCCCCATGCAGAAGGACAACTGTCCTTGAACGGCTTCAAAATTGGCAACTTGACCCTGACTGGGCCTGGAGCTTGGCACTGCTGGAAGTGAGGGGCGGAAACACTGGGGAGAGACAGGTGTGAGCTTCCCACGTGGTGATCAGCTCGCACCTGTCTTGTGTCCTTTCTATTCATAGACTGTCAGAATGTCACAGCCGGAGGAGACCTGAGGGACCTTCTCATTCAACCCCTCTGTTAGATAGATAAGAAATGGGAGCCCAAGACTTCATGGGGTCTTAGATTAGCCTAAGTTCATGCATGGAGGAACAGAACAGCCAAAGCCCAATTCTTCGAATTCCCAGCCTCCACTCCTGCCTGGGCAGCGGACAGACTCCGCCAGCTGACCTGGAGGCTTCCGTTTGACCTCTGACCAAGCAACACCATATGGACAAGTTCCCAAGTGAGTTCTTTAGGTGTTTTTCTCATAGCTTCTGGGGAAGACCCTACTCTTTTAAAAATATTTAAAAAAATTTTTAGGATTTATACTTTTTTTTTTCTCCTGTGTAAACTGTAAGTCAATCAGAAGTAAAAGATTGATTCTCATTTGTGTCTTTCTTCTCACCCTTATCCTCAGGGCATGGCTTCAAAATGTTTAATCCCTATTTGAATGTGGCCTTGTGACACTGCTACCTTATTTATCTACATTATTAGTCCATCAACAACATTTATCAAGTATGACACATGTTCAGAGTGAGCAGATGACATGGGGACAGGAAGCAACTTAGAATTCAAAGACCTGTGTTTGGGTCCCAGAAGTTCTACTTCTTTGCTGTAAAACTTGAGACAAATCCTTTAACTGTCAGAGCCAATACTTGCTGAACTATAAAATGAGGATAAACCATTTGTCCTATTTTTTCCCCACAAAGATCATAGGATAGACTGTCAATGAAAGTCCATTGTAAACTTTAAAATGGAAAGCAGTGGTTAGTTAAATACATATTGTCGTGTATTGGTGAAGAAGGAGAAAAATGGACGTCAAAAGAAACGGAATCTATGAGCCCACGAATCTATGAACCCAATCTTGTGGTTTTGACCACATTAGTGGAAATGACAGTGTGACCACAGAAACAGAATTCTTGAAGTCAGAGACAATCTGTAAACAAGCTTCAATTAATGTAGGATAAACCAAGCTATGTCAAAAAGAAGTTAGGGGAGGAATGAGAGGGAGTCTGATAGGAACAACTAGGGAGAAACTGTACTATTTGAAGGAATGGAAGGAAATGAATTGGTGAAAAGAGAAAGAGAAGCACTGGGTAGAGAAACCACCTGTGAACAGGTTGAGTAGGGGCCAGAGCATGGGAAATGTGGTCAGGGATACAGTGGGGCAGGCGGTTGGGAGAGGATTTTAAAGGTGAGGTGGCAGGGTTGGGTTCATGTGAGGTAATAAGAAAGCATGAAAGATAGTTGAAGAAGAACATGATGAGAAAGGGGTTCAAGGGAAATTTTCAACAGCTGTTGTCAGAAAGAGCTCAAGTGGGAATGTCTGGCTAAGCCAGGTTTATGTTTATAAATTTCCAGGCAGAGAAGGAAAGGATGCAACCGAAGGCGTGGCGGACATTAGCATAGCCTGGTGATGGAAGCAGAAATGGTCCTCGGGTTGGCTTCCCCAACCTGGAGACTTCAAAGGGGAGCGAGTCCTGTTCTGTGGCAGTCATCAGAGGAGCAAACCAAGAATCCATCAGGCACTATTTTCTGTTGTATGTCTCATTGTGGGCATTATGATTGTTCCAGAATTCATGCAAGTAAGGCATATAAGGGGAACTCGCACAACACTTATGGGTGGCATGCAATTTAGCAATCCCAGATGAGAGTGATTTGTAGCACATTCCCTTGGGGGTATCTCACTTTTGGGCTCCTGTGCCCCTTGAGGGGAAGGACTTCAGCTTCCATGCCTTGTCATTTCCTGAGCCAGGGAAAAGCCTGCTCAGAGAACAGGCTGTGCAAGTCCTGACTGATGAACCGGACCAAGAGGAAAAATGGTGTGTCCTGGAGAGAGCTCTGCTTGGGGCCAGAGCAGCTGCTGGTGCACCGCCTACATGTCCTGCTGGTGGAGTCCTTTTTTTTTTTTTAGATGATAGAAGACCTTTGCTTCTCCTTTCTGTGCCTATAGCTAAGCTATGTGCTTGCTTGTTAGCACCTCTAAGGCAAAGAGGGGGAAGTGAAACTCAAATCCCTCCCATTTGGTTTTTCAGCAGCGTTGACAAATGTTTTGATAGGGTAGGAGTTTGTACTTCTTGGGTAACAATGATATTTTGGTCAGATTTGTGGATTCTACTAGTATAGATAACTGAGAGAAGGATGAGAACATACCCTCATTTTGGGTCAAAGAGATGTCAGTCTTTTACTCCCAAGTAGGAAGGGCTAGTGGGTAAAACAGATCAGATCCCACTTTAAGAGGCAGTTTGGCATGGTTAAACTATTCAACCCATGACAGAAAAAGAGCAGCCCACATTTTTGTAGTTAAAACCCAAACCTCTTTGGTAATTGGTCGGGTCAGGAAAATAATCTCCATGATTTTCTAAAGAGTCATTCATAGCACTCACAGTTTCAGACAAGCCCTAAGGACAGCAACCCCATGTTGCTAGTTTTCTGCTCTATTACAGAGAGAATTGATCCAGCAGACTCTTGCATGATAAAAATTCACAAAATTACCTCAGCCTATAATAGAGTAAAATTTCAAACCTCACAAGTGTTGGAAGTTGACTTGGTTGGGGGAGCATTTTCTATAAATCAACACATTTTTTATTACTTCAGAAGAAGCAATAAACTAAGGGACCTCTTCCTGAATGTTGCCCTCTTGGGGTGAATGATTCAGATCACACCTAATAAAATGGCCAATAACCCTAAGTGTGGATCCTTCCCAAATCAGGCTGGCAAGTGTCCTATGTCTGCCCTGATTTCTGCTGGAGACAATTAGAAGGCACAAAAAAATCTTGAAGGATTTGAAATAACCTTTGTGATATTTTAAAAAGTTAAGGTAATATTTCTTCTTAAAGTAGGTCTAGGGGAGGAGGAAAGGGTTGGTATCATCTTCCAGGTCTTGGCTATTTCTGGGTTCTCCAAGATCTTAGGACATCCTGCTTCATGAGAGTGTCTGCTGCCACCAGAGGCCTTCAAATTCAGCTGGACAATCAGGTTTCACAAGAGGTGGAGAAGAAGCATGGGATTTATTAAGTCAGTAATTTCAACTAGATTAGAGGTTTTCAAAGTGTGTTCCCTAGACCAACAGCATCTCCATTGCCTTGGAATGTGTTAGAAATGCAAATTCTCAGTCATCTAGACTCCTGGATTAAAACACAAATCTGGAATGTAGCCCAACCAACCATGTGGTGGCACATGCTAGTCAAATCCCAGTAGTTTGGGAGGCTGAGGCAGGAGGATTATGAGTTCAAAGCCAGCCTCAGTAACAGTGAGGCACTAAGTAACTCAGTGAGACCCTGTCTCTAAATAAAATACAAAACAGGGCTGGGATGTGGGTCAGTGGTCGAGTTCAATCCCTGGTACAGAAAAAAAAAAAAATCTGGAAAGTAATCCAGTAATGTATACATTAAAACCCCTCAGGTTATACAGGTGCTTGCTGAACTTTGGGAATCAGTGGACTGAATAACTGCAGGCACTTTCAGCTTAGAGGTTCTACTGTCATCCAACTCTGGGAAGAGATTCTATATTTGAGACTCAAACTATGCCACCTAACTGGGATGGTGAAGAGATAATCTTACAGTACTGCAATTGTAAGACAAATTGTCTTAATAAATATATACTTTATGTCCATATATTTCTATGTATAAACAGATTTTTTAAAGACTTTAGGAAATATGGAAAAAGTTTAAAAATCAGAGGTAATAATTATTAACTTCTTTGTATATTGCTTTTAGTTTCTATGCCTATGTGTTTTTAATAAAACTGAAATCAGTTTCTTAATTGTATTTTTATTTAACGTTATTTTGTAAGCATTTCCAATATCAGTGGATATTTAATTTTAAAGATTTTATTCATACTTTATGTATATATGTATTTTTGTGGTGCTAGAGAATAAACCCAGGGCTTTCATATACTAAGCATGTGCTCTACCACTGAGTTATTTATTAAATATGAATTTTCAACAGCTGAAAATAATTCCATTTGATGAATCTCACATAGCTTATTTAAACCTCTTCTTTGAATATTGGGCTTTTAGGTAATTTCCATTTTTTTTTGCTATGATGCATGAAATATAAATTTACATACATCAATGTCTGTATTACATTTAGACTAAATTCCTACAAATATATGAACAATTTTTAAAGGGTGAAAGTAAATGAACAGACTCAGTATGCATTACTATTTATAATGGTTTAATGATTCTTCTTCTTCTCCTTCTTCCCCTCCTCCTCTCTCTCCCCTCTTCCTCCTCCTCCTCCTCCTCCTCCGAGTACTAGGGTTTTAACCAGGGATGCTTAATCACTGAGCCACATCACCAGCCCTTTTTATTTTGAGACAAGGTCTCACTAGGTTGCTTATAGTCTTGCTAAATTGCTGAGGCTGGCTTTGAACTCCCCATCCTCCTGCCTCAGCTTCCCAAGCTGCTGGGATTACAGGTGAGCGCCACTGTACCTGGTTTGTAATGGTTGTTCTTGATGCATGGCTCTGGATGCTTTTTAGAATGGCAGCACCAGTTTGTACTCTTGCTAACTGGGTGTATTGGTCTTACCACACCCTTGATAGCAATGAATATTTTCTTACTAAATAGTAAGTGAATAGTAAGCGAAACTTTCTATTCTTATTTCTTGCTAAATAGTAAGTGAAACATGGCATGACTTTCCTCACTGTTAATTTGAAAATCATTCTGTCTTTGGATGCTAAATGTTATTTCATTG